TTGCATTTCATCGAACATTGGTATAGATTTATATTTCAAAAAAATTATGACTCTTTTTAAAAAATCTCTCAATATTTTTGTTAATTTTAACCGTTTAGTGTGTAAATTAAGTTATTCATTTATAATGACTTACTTTTATAGGTTTATTTTATTTTATATTAAATTTAATTTTATACTAAAGAAAACGTTTTCAGAAAATTTTATATTTTAAAAAAATAATTAAATTAAGAATTTAAAATATTTTCTTGAAAATTTAAAATTATATTTTAATTTCCCAAAATTAACCTATAACCTCACCTTGTATAGATACAATGGAGTGCGGGTTTTTGGAGAACAATACAAATTAATCAACTTGTATGTCACTTATCTTTGAAAATATCAAGATATAAAGTGTTTTCATAATTTAATTATTATTATCATCAAGAAGTAATAGTTGTAAATATATATCTTAATATTATACTTATTTAGTTACCATTCACCTGTGTTATTATATTATATTCTTCGTATTAATATTTTCTTAGGAAAATAAATAATCCTTTCCGTCCACACATGCAAATGTTTTTAATAATTTTTATCTGTTTATTTTATGTAATATGAATTCTTTAATGATATTAGAAAATTTACGCAATTTCTTAGAATCGCAAAATACTTAATATAGTAGAAAATTTCTGTTTTATACATTGTAAATGTCTTTATATTTTTTTGTATTTGTTTCTTAAAAGATTGTAACATTAATTTATTTTTTTATTTTGGGATAAAATGTATTTTGGATTTGTTATATCTATAAAATGTATTTTGTATTTGTTATATCTTAGAAGACAATTTTCTTTTGTTAATATTATTGTTTTGCTTTTTCTGTTTTACTAAAATAAATTTTTTAATTTTAAATTTATCAAATAAGTACATATTACACAATTAATCAAACCAATGCACTACAAAAAAAAGATCATATAACATCATTTATTTTGTATATTTACATCAGTTATAAATGATGTTAACAAAATTTGTATCACTTATTTAAATGACTCTGAAAGTGGTGATGCAAATAATTTGCATCATTTTAATAATAAGTGATATAAAAATATCAAATATTTACATTAATTATGATAAATGATGTTAAGATATATCATTTGGAAACAAATGATATAAACACTTATATTACTTATCTAAAACGATGTTAGTATTGGTATCAGTTAAAATAACTGATTTTAATTATTTATATAATATATTAATAATTTGAAAATTAATAGCAATTTAATAAGTGATTTTAATAATTTCATAATTTACTATTATCAATTTAATATATTGTCATTCAATTCACGTTAGATTAATGTCAAAAATAAAATTATGTTATCAAATTAAAATATTTTATGTTAATAATTTTTCCCCATTTACAAATACAAAAAAGAAAGAAATACTCCGTATACAAAAAAAACATGTAAAAAGAATATGAACTGAGAAAAATTGATAATAAAACAACTAGAAGAAAGTCTGAACAGAAAAAAATAAAAATAAACAACTAGAAGAAACTGCCATATAACTTTTCTTCTCGTATACTTCATCTTCTATACTTCTTATTGATCAGCCCTTTTCCGATGGAATGCATCTACACCCGTCCACGGTTAGTTTCCTTCTCCAAAGCCTCATGTTTCCTCAAGTCAATGGCAGATTAATAACCAAACGATATGAACTTCTTTTTTGAGATATATCTCTTTTATGTTGTAATCTGAAAAGAGTAAAAGACTATGAGGAAATGAAATTTATCAAATAAGCATCTTAATTTGGTCATAAACTGTAAGAAACTGAAGTTTTGAGAAAAAAAATCAGGAAAGAACAATAGAAGAGGAAAATACCTTTCAGAACTTTTTCCAATCATATACGTGCGATTAGCCATCATACAAAGAAACAACAACGTCATCATATAATGGGGCTTGGTAATGGGACTCATATAAGAAAAGAAAATTGACTGTTAAGAAATGTTTTAGTCAAACTGTTAAGAGAAAATAAACTGTTAAGGAAAGAGTTAAAGCACTAAAGAGGGAGAGGAGGCTGTAAATTAGAATATAGATCTTAGTAGATAAGAATATGCTTTTGAAAAAAAAAAATGCTTGGAACAAACTCAGTTAAATTATTAAAGCACAATAGAAAAAAAAAACTAAAAACAAATCTTAACTACATCACGTAATCTCTGCCTTTTTAAAATGCAGGTTTTTTTATAAATGTTTTTTCTTTCCAAAAGGCTTATTTTTATAAGTTTTAAATTAGAATAAAAGTTTGAACAGATGCAAATGACGATAAAAAAACATCATTTTCTTAAAAACTGATGTTAAAAGATAATATAGTTGTTTAACATTTTGTTAGCATCAATATTTAATTGATATAAAACTTGAATCAATTTAGTAAATGATGTTAATCAGAAAATAAACGCATCAGTTGTATGATTGATATAAATATATATAATAATATCAGTTATGCTAAAGTGATACAAATTAATAAAAATTATATCATTTAACTGAACTGATGATAAATAAATTAATAATAGCATCATTTATTATAGCTGATGCTAAACTATATCTGTTTGTCTCATTTATAAATAAGTAATTTAAAATAGAATCATTTAATTTTATGATACAATTTAAGTGATACAACTTGACTATTTTTTTGTAGTGATGACTTATATTTTATTAAATATTTTTAACAAAAATGCTGAAATAATTTTAACACAAAATGAAGTAATATATCATTTTTATATTTAATATAAATAAAATAATATATTTATATATTTTTTAAATACACTAAACTAAAAATTTAAGATTATCAAAAAGTTGAAATATATTAATTTTGTAACTTAGGTTTTATTAAAAAGTATCCTCGTATTTTTAAATGCAGATCAGAATCTAGTTGTAATTATAAAAAGAAGTAAAGTTATAATCTTATGAGATTTCCTGTTTTGATAATATAGATTGTGGAGTGAATTTTTAATTGAATTATAGTAATATACATTAAATGGAATTGTTTTATTTTTTAGTTAAAGTTTAATGGTAATGTATAATCGTATTGCTGTAAATATTATCAAATATTAAAGGGAAATCACTTATACATTATTTAAGAAGTGATTATGTCATGTGTTATTACCACAATCAATTCCTAAAAAAAACTGATATGCATACTATAAAAGATGACATGAATTAAGGCAAAATGTGACGATGGACAATTACATTTAATGGTGACTTCTATTTTGTGTAAACTTTTAGAAATATCGTAATTATTCATATATCATAATTAAAATAAATATATTGAAATATTTTTAGAAATTATTTTTAATGTTTTCTTTTCATATTTACAAATTTTAGAAATTCTTTTTAATGTTTTAATAGTTATACAATGTTAATTCATATTTCTACTCTTATACAAGTTAATTAAAATATTATATCCTAATGAAATAAATGAAAATATATCTCAGTTATAATTTTACATGTATACATATATATTATATTCATAAAATATAATGTAAATGAATTAAATTGTTTACTTTATCTTAAGTTTATGTTTAATTGTATTAAATTTATATTAAAATATTGATATAAAGTAAGAAAAATTTAAATATTAACAAAATTTACTTTAAATATTATTTAAATTAAAATTTTTTATCATGCACATGGTGCAGAAAAAGACCTAATTATAACTTTTTTAGTAGTATAGATATATATTGGTAGACCCATTATGGAAAATAATAGCTGTTTATATTTTTAGTTGCTCCATACAAATTAATTTAACTACATTTTTACCCAAAAACTTAATTTTTTGATTGGAAGAAAGTAAATATAATAATACGTAAGGTAATACTACATAGTCGTTATCATGCCGCATCCGTGTATATGATCCAAATACTCAAATGATATTTATCATCTTAAAGAATGACCTTTGTTGTAATATGTATTAGTCTTTCTTATACATTAAGCTGAGCCAAAATATAATAATACGTAAGGTAATACTACCTAACATGGCATTTTCGAGTTGCTATTTTGTCCACGTCGGTAATTGGGAGAAAGTAAAGTTCAGAATTCTGTTTATAAAAGGAAGTTCTCTCTATTTTAAGAAGGAGAAAACGGCCAAGTAAATCCCGATGTTACACACACAAAAAAAAAAACAAAATAAGTTTCAGTGACCATTTAAGACATTTTAATTTTGAACGTTTTAAAATTATCAATGTTAAACTTAAAACTTTGTTAATTAAATCAATTTAGATACCCGAAAACTCAACGTTAAATCAATTTAATGTTGAGTTTTACATGTATACAAAATGATTTGATCAATAAAATTAAGGTATAAAATAAGTAATTAAAAAAAAATTAAAGTTCATGTTTTTGTTTCGTTTTGAAATATTTGCATTTTAAAACTTTCTTACTTTGAACTGAAAAAAATCTAATCATTTTAATTTATTTACTCTTTGAAGATTGGATCTTGGATGCATTATTATAACAAGTATTTACCTGAAAACACTAGTTTTGAAGTGTGTAGATGTCTCATGTAATGGGATATCCACAAGCTTAAGATTTTTTTACATCCAAAGGCACATTTTTACTTTCCAATTACATTTAAAGGCACTTCTTGCCTGAGACACACATTTTGTATGTGATTTGTCTGTCATACCCTTTGCTTAGCTTTTATGTTTTTGTGAAAAGTCTCAAGCTAAACTATCTTCGTCTTTTTCAATTTTATCTCCTCTCTCGAATTTGAGCCCAAAAAAAAACCACCTCTCTCAAACAATCTCATTTCAAAGAACTAAAAAAGTGTGAATTTTATAAAACCCAGAAACGAAACAAAATTCACCAATTTCAATTAGAAGTATCAAATAAATAATGGGAAAGATCTGAAAATGAGACGTGGTTCTGAAACTGTATGACGCCCTGAGATCTTGCAACGTCAAATCGGTTCACCGGATTCTAACCCCGGATCTCGACTACTGGTTCCACGGCCCTCCGCCGCACCAGTTTTTGATGCGCACGCTCACCGGCGTCTCTCTTCCCTTTGAATTTGTGCCTCTTTCTGTCGTCTCCTTCGGATCCACCGTCATAGCCGAAAGCTGCGACGCCGCTACCTCTGTTTCGTGGATCCACGCATGGACTGTTTCGCATGGGATAATCACTCAGGTGAGGGAGTACTCGAACACTTCCCTCACGATGGTTGTGAAATATATGAAACTGAGTTCATTATCTTGTGTTTAGGTCTCTGATGTTATGTTACTGGTTTGATGTGAAGCTGCAGAGAGAGGAAAGGTGTGGACAAGAGAAGTGTTGTGGTCATGAGAAGAGAAAAGAGGTGTGGATAAAGGTGTGGACTTGAGAGGTGTTGTGGTCATGGACTGTGGAGAGGAGAAGAGAGGTGTGGATAGAGATGTGGCCTTGAGAGGTGTTGTGGACAGGAGAAGTATTGTGGTCATGAGAGGAGAAAAGAGGTGTGGATAGAGAGGTGGACTTGAGAGGTTTTGTGGTTATGGACTGCCGAGGGGAAAAGAGAGGTGTGGATAGAGGTGTGGACTTGAGAGGTGTTGTGGTCATGGACTGAAAGATGTGAACAATGGAGATACATAATAGGTGTTGCTAGCGAGAGGAGAGATGTGAAGATGTAGTGTTGAACTGCATAGGAGCACAAATGTCTAATCAAACACTACACTCCAAAATAATGTGTCTTGCAAGCACAATGTATCTTTATGTGCAAACAAAAGACAAAATGTGCCTCTTTAAGTAACCAACTCAAAGCTTAAAGGTCATAGATACGTAACTTGGTATATTAGAACTGTAGACACTAGTACAGTCAAATATATATAGTGTCATGTAATTAGCAACTTGCGTGTTACCGAGACAACTTTTGTGTAAATCGTTTCACGAAAGATTTCCGTGTAAATCGTCTAGAAAAAATTAAATATTTAAATTTTATTTTTCAATTAGAAAACTAATCTGATATAATTTACATGTAAATCGTCTAAATATAATTAAATATTGATTATTTTTTAATTTTTTATCAGATGATTTACATGTAAATCATCCACTAAAAATCAAAATTCTGACACAATCCGGTCAAATGCAAAACTAACCTACTTATCCTAAACGATTTATATGTAAGTCTTCTCTGGTATTTTCGAGAATTTTTAAACAAAGAAAACTTGATAACTTTTATGGAAATCTTCTCTAAGAACATAAATAAAAATCAATTACAAAACTAACTTCTCTGTTGACCAGGGGACTTCCGTGTAAGTCTTCTACTGTCAGAAGACTTACGCGGAAATCGTCTAGCCAAACAAATCTGAAAAAAATTCAATTTCATACCTTGAATTAGTGGGATAACTTTCTTAGCAAATACAAAAGTATTTTCCAAGCAAACAAAAGCTCAAACGAAAACCCACCAAGAATTGTAAGCTTGAATGGTTATGAACCGTGAAAATTTTAGAATCAAAATCTTGAGTTTTTTTGGATGAGTATAGAGAGAAAGTGGAAGAGGTGTTGTTTTTAGTTCATAAGAATTGAGAAATAAATAGTGTAAATCAATTTGAGGTGCACTAAGAGCTTCAAAATAGTTGTTCATGGTTGTTGGTGTATTGATGTCAATGACAATCCAGTAAATACTTGAAGATGATGTTGAGAGATTAAAAATATCAAAAAATTAATAGAATTTTGGTGAATAATCTGAACTTTTGGGGTGAATAGAACAAATGAAAACTTTAAAAAAAAAATCTTAGTTAGTTTTGTGTTTGACTTTGTTTTAGGTCAATTTTTCAAAAAGTCCTAAATAATTTTGTATATACATAAGTGTTTTAAAATTTATATGATACAATAAAATATAATTGTATTATACTAAAAACTTTGCCACGTAAGCATAATTTTATATTTAATTTATTACTATTATAATGAAAAACTTTGTCATATATAAAGAATTTGATATTTATTTATATTTTAAGCATATGAGTATTTAAGTTTATTTTAGATAATATATATATATATATATATATATATATATATATATTATGATAAATTATTTTTTTATATATAAAGAATTCATTAAGCTGAAAAAATTATAAAAATTTGTTATTTTATTTAATGTTTTTGAACGCATGAATGTTGGGCCCGAATTTAGCCCGTTAGCTGAATTAATGGGCTGAATAGTCGAAACCATTCACGAGGCACTACGAACCCATTAGAAAGCCTTCCCTCAAATAAGAATCAAATGAAATCGTTACCTATCGATAAAAACAGGTCACGAACGAAAGACTCGGGACCTCGTTTACAAAACAGCTAACGAGAAACAGCTCCGGGAGAACGTACAAGACTTAGTCAAGAGGAAGCTGTTGCAAATCCCGCAACTCACGGAGATAATCCTGGAGGCTTCGCCGGGAGAAGTTGGATGTGACCTAGTGCTATATAAAGAAGAGAAGAGATCAGAGAGAGGGGGTTCGATTCATTCAAGAGAAAAAGACTCTAACACACTTTGTTCTTAATCATTCTCTATCAACCATTGTTCTTTCTATTTAGATCGTGAAGATCATCCTTGTAAACTCTTTTATCACCAAAATCAATATAAACAACGTATTCATTCATACAAGTTCCAACAGGATTCAGCCCACGATTATCTTTTCCCAATCTATATCTAACCTAAACTAGGAAGTGAGTTTTGCCCCTCACATTTTGGCGCCGTCTGAGGGGACGAGATAATTGAATCCTTCACTCCGTAACTTGAGAATGGATCCATCCAACCATGCTACGAATCCATCCATCCCGGATCCCGTGATCCAGATCGACGGATCACCGAACAGAAGAGATCCGGACCCTCAGGATCCGGAACCTCAACCCGCTGACCTTCGATCCGAGCAACAGCCTCCGGCTGATGCTCAACCGAACCGAACCGGGATAGCTAACCCAAGGTCCTC